ATATTAAAGCCTGTCAAATGTCCTTATAAAGTGGGAACATAAAGTAAACCACTCAATTTCTGAAGACTCTGGATCAAAAAGAAGCAACTATTGGATACAGTTTTGAATCGGTATTATTGCTTCCATCAGTAGAAAGGCAGACCGGAGCTGTTTTAATGCAATCAATAACTGAAGATTTATTTTTCAAACCCATTTCTTTAACAATTGCACCTGTTTTGATTCTTGCACCTTGAGTATTTCTTGGCGATTTCACTATCGGGAAAAACATTTTTCTAAATAAAGCTGCAGCGTGATCCGATGCATTCAGTAGCAGGTTGTGCTCCAGTAAAAAGGCAGAGAAGAGAACAGACATTCGCATTAATAACTTCTTGGTCCTTTGTTTCCGAAGAAATTTTAATTTTTCGTTTTTTCAAAACAACAATCATGTTATCCTTGTGTTTTTTGTGTACGCACATGTTTGAGAACATCCGCCCTTCCAACATACGAAATCGAAAAATCGCAACGACAGGCGGTACGCATCGCAAATTTATTACATTTCCTTGAGGAAATAATGGAAGGAAAGTCAACTGTGTACGATTTTTGAAACGTACACGAGTATTTCACCTTTCTCGCAGACGTAACAAAAGATGATAATTTCTAAAACTATTTCCCTAAGCCACGTGTACTCACACAACTCAGGACAAAATGAACAAAATAACTAAAAAGAACGTCCAAATAACAACTTGCTTTGTCCTCATTGGCTAATATATGCCAGCTGACACGCAGTGGAGCTCGAAGCCTATTGGAGAACTGGAGAATGACGTTTCTGGATACGTATAATGCTCTCACTCACAAAGCAGAAGCTATCTGATTCGCAAGGTTTTGTTTTAGATATAATGTAGAGAAAATTCAATTGCTTTCAGACGTCCAAAAGCACTTTTTTTATTCATATAACAAAGTATTAAGCCAAGTTGCATAAAAATCGTGAGAAATATTAAGAATAAGAAAAAGTCGGGAGAAATATATTGTAAATCGGGTTGGCGGGAGAGCGGTCGAAAATCGGGAGTCTCCCGCCTAAATCGGGAGAGTTGGCAACTCTGCATTATGTATAGTCGAAATTAGAAAATTGCAACCAGAAAACTATTTGATTTGTATTCGTGATATTTATAATGACGAGGAATTTGATTTAAGTCATATCAAAGACGGAGTACATCGAGATGAAATACTACATTATAAGCCGAATAAAATAAAAACATCTGCCCTGAAGATGAGGATAGTGCTGACATATCAACTTCCAGTTCATTTCGCACTGTGATGTCTCTCCCCCCCCCCCCCGGAGAGCAGCGTCAAAATTGATAAACAGATTTTGGAACGGTTAGAGAAACAAAGGATATGCCTTTATCCATTTTTTGCAGCAATTCCACTTTTTGTTTGATGGACATAGAAACATACTTTCGCTTTGTAGATCTTTTGGTAGCTCCAGCATCGGAAATTCTATTTGACATAATCGAAAGTTCAAGCTTACTTTTATAAAATTGCTCTAACAGTCTGCAACATTAACTGAAATAGATAATTAGATAATTTTAGCTCAGCTTATACCATCCGTTATACATTAAACACGCATGTGTTAACATATCATGCACATGCGTAGCACATGCGCAGAAAGTTTGTAGCTTTGAGGTCTGGATTATAGATCATTCCGGATTAAAGACTTTTCACTGTACTGCAAAACACCAACTTTGATTACCTTTCAGGTTATCAGGTAAGGTAATTATTTAAGCTCTAAAAAACTTCTAGCATTCAAGTACTATTATTCAATTCTTTTTTAGAGGTTTATGTAATAAAAATAATTCAGAATGCATTTAATAGCTTACAAGCTTGAATCTTCCTTCTTAATTTTAAATATCTATTTTTCTAAAAATGGCATTTTCAGGGATTTAAAAAAACTTAAGAAATCACTAATTTTATGGTTTATCAAGATGTAGCACCTCTGCATTATGAATCAGTTTTTAAAGATTAAAAGAAAATTAATTTTCTTAGATCAAGTATACAAATATTATGCATATGAATGGATGATATAAAAAGAAAATAATACTACAACCTGTGAAAGGCTAAACTGAGTCCATCCACCATTATCCAGCTAACCTCTAGATTACAGGCAAGAGACTTATCCATCCAGACACACACAGAGGGAGAATAACGACCTCTGAGTGTCATGTTCAAGTTCCTTGCCTCTTCACTAGGGATGTCACAACACTGGAGGGTGATTGATGGCCAACTCAGCAATGTTAGGATAAACTGAGTTGCAATAGGTATCACAAAACCAAGATACAGAATTTTAAAAACATAGTAGATAAAAACTTTAAATGGAGAGGTATTAATTCAGAGAGATCACGATTGCTCAAATTTGAAAATAACCCACATAATATACTTTTTAAAAGGAGGTACTTTCACATTAATGGCTTTAAAAAATACTATTTTGTAAATAAAATTTGTAAAAAATATTGTAATAAAAAATTAGAAAATTTTCCACCAATTTCCTTATTTAAAGCATAATTTCAATACAATATATTAGTTTTAAATGTCAGCTGTTTTACTCAATCCTTTACTTTAGAACTCCGTTACGCTGATTACTGCACGTTACATAATGTCTATTAAGTCACTGTGCAATTTTAAATATTAACCCCAGTACACAATAAATAACACATATCAGTACATGGAAGAGTTATTGCAAAGCATCTCATATCTAATAAAAAATCTGATGTGTACACCACATGACTTCCTTGTACGGAATATTAAATTATACACATTTTTCTTGCATTTCATTTAAACTTATTGGATTGAATTAAATCTACTTCGCCGACAGAGCATAAACCACAATAGAATAAATGCATTCTTTAAAATTCACTCTAGTATTTGTTTACCATAGTGACACTCTGGCGCTAGATTCACTTAACAGTATATTTCGTTCATATTATACCTCATAATGCACAAAATTTATATCATTTAAAGAATAGAATTATCGAATCGTCGCCACATGTTCTATTCAAATACTATAATAAAGGTAGAACGATGTATAAAAGAAATTAAGCAAAGAAAAACAAAAAAGAGACGATTGAGTATTTCTCATTCAATTAATTCAGTTCTCACTTCGCAAGAAGGCAAAAATACATAAAAACTCAAAATATCTATATTAAAAATTACGAAGTAATCTTAAACACTTATTTCCTCGAAAAAATTCCAGAAAGGATTAAGCATGATTTAATTGGCAATAATAAATGAAGGCGTTATCTTTGTTGTTGCGAAGCTACGTTTCTCTAGATTGGCAACAAATCCACTAGTCTGCTGTTTCAAATGTAAACAAACAATGGGCGCCATCAAGAAAGGAATTAGGCTTTGCGACACTTAAACAACTTTAAAATTGTTGATAATTCTAAAAATATTGCATAGAGATTTACTAAAGGCATAAAAACCTTAACCGGAAGATAAAAACAACATAATTCAATCATTTTTAAAGCAAAAAATGTTCAATTACAAAACATAAGAGTAAAGAAACTGAGATCACTGAGCCGGGTAAAGAGTGGATATATATAAAATATTTATATACGTTTGGTGCGGGGCCGATTGCAACTAAAATATGAGGTGCACATCTACATGTTAAAGCAGTCCTATATACAAAATTTCAACGTTCTGAGGCTACTCGTTTTTGAGTTATGCGAGATATGCGCGTAAGTACATACGTTCGTACAGACGCCATGAAAAATTCTCTTCAGAATTCATTTTAAAGCAGTTTTATAATTTTTTTGGAGGGAAAAAAGTCTTTTATTCTGCCCTTACGTACAGATATCACGCAAAAACATCGTTAAATTGCTTTCGATAGCGGTCAAAATGGATATATTCGTTGAAATATGCTGCCTGAAACATTTTGCGATTACAATACTTCCTTTTTACTTCGTACAAGGAAGTAAAAATCTGCAACTTCAATACATCTCTTAATAGCCACCCAACAAATGTAATGGACTACTTTCCGAAACCCCGATTTAGGGTTATCCAATGAAACCAAAATTAATTATTTCTAAATGTGCAAAAGTTTTTATATTTTATCTTTTGAAACAAGTACATCTCTAGGATGAACAAAATTCTCAGCTACTGCTAATTTAGTCTGATATAACTAAGTAGTAATTCAGATCTTATACCTGACCTTGGAAGGAAAAGCATTCAATGAAATATCCTGAACACATCAGTAAAGTGGAACTCCCAGGACTGCCTTTCACATAGTTTATAACGTTAGGTAGCAATAACAGTTCCAAACCCTCGGACTTAACGATTACCAATAACCAAACATTCAACGGCACTAATGCACTCTACATTGAAGCTGTATTTCTTGAGGTACTATTCCAATGTGTAACAATAAATGCTAGCAAGACAACTAGAAACTGCAATTTATAAATTTAACTTCGAAAGGATTAAAAAAAAAAACATTCCAGTTGGAAAATTAACAAGCAGAAATATACAGCAAAAGGAAATTACATTTAAGATTTGAAACATGAGCTATATTGCAATAAAAAATCAGTAAAAGGTTTCAGGTGGAATTTACAGCACGTCTACTGCACATAAATCCAAAATTATAAAAATGTCTTCCCAAATTAAGTTATAGCTTTAACACTTGTTTTAAATCTTTTTTTGAAAAATAATATACAATAACTGCAGAGGAAATTTAAAGTACTGTCTTTAGGGTGAAAAATTAATATACATGCACTAATTTTTATTTACTGAGAATGCTCCATAATTTTTTAACCAAGTATCTATTTTCCCACTGCACATTCACAGTCCAATAAGAAAAAAATATATATTATATACTTGGTAACCAATGACTACAGAAAACATAGCACCACTAATGTGAAAGTACTTTTCCTAATATATCTGAAAATCTTGGTTTTGGATAATGGACTCCACACAAAGGAGACAACCCAATTTATTACAATTTCTGTGCAGCTCATCTCCAAATTAACTTAACGAAATGCATAACAGAGGCACTAAATTTTTCCATGTGCCTCTGAAAAGAAAAAAAAATAGAAATCGATTAATAAAAACAAGAATATAAAAAACTTCTACATTAGAGTAAAAAACATAAGATAAAAATAGGATTAATAAGCACATTAAAAACTGCTATTTAATATTTAAAATACAAAATTAAAAAAAAATAAATGAGCAGCTCCACAAAAAGAATCAAAAATATTAAAATTTAACAATAAAAAAGATAAATTTTATTTTTTGTTTCCAACTGACAAAAACTCACCTAAACCTCTAGCAGCCACATCAGTTGCAACTAAAATCGGAGATTTTCCATTTCGAAACTCTGAAAGTAATATATTTCAGTGTTACATAGTGGAACACCTTAACAAAAATGAACATACACATAACTACAAATACTTATAGATTTCATGAAAATGAAACTCCTCGCAACTTAAATAATTCACATTGGAACTCAAATTTCAAGGTTTTGAAGAGCAAAACCGATCTAATAAGTACCAGTTTTAATTTTGAGCAAGTTCTTCAGGCATGAAGTCTCTCCCAGTGCCAATCAATTTTTATCATTACCCATCTCTGAAAACCTGATAAGTGCACACGGCAGAATATTTTTTTTTGGGGGGGGGAACTACTAAAACAAGTAAAAGAGATAAGGGGGTGGGAGAATAAAGGTAAGAAAAGTATACAATTAAAAGAGGGGAAAATTATTCAAAATCTGGTAATTCAAATCTGAAATATCAAATAAAAACACTTATTCACAGCAAAATGTTGCTAAAAATATGCATAATAGAAGCTTAACGTTAATGCTCTGTATTACTAAAGTATAAAGCATGTGAAGTACGTTTTTCAAACGAGTAGGAAACCTTCCCTGGTCTAAACACTGAGCAGAAAAACATGCAGAGAAATTTTTATGTTCAAAAAAAATTTCAAAGGCACTGATCCACTCAAAAGAGAATGAAGCAATAAACACTGCTTAATCCTCTGGCTGATCATCCAGCAATTTTCGCAAGCAACTCAAATGTAGCAAAATTTGCTTATTCCGCGGGCTGTTTTTCTTCCTTTATTGGGGAGCGCATCCCGTTTAACCATTGAAATAAATTATATACAGTATTAGGCGTTTAGTTTACGTTTTGGCCAACAGATATCGTTAGTTTTCCACTAAATTGCGGCATTTGAAGGCATGTGGTATTAGTGCCTTTTTCTTACAGAAATGGCTACTAGAAAATGTTCAGCGATTATCTTGATTATTTAATTAAATTGATTTATTTAATCTGGTGCAAAGACTGTGAAGTTGGACTTTGCCTTGAACCCTGTTTTGAACTCTGTCATACTAAACTGCATTTCAAAGGTATTTTTCCCTCAGCGCTTTATGTTTTCTTAAATTTTATACATTTTACTTTATATTATGCAATAAATAGAAATTAACTGTAATTCGAATGAAATTTATTTTTAAAAAGATTTTTTTTTTGTGATAATAACTGAAATTGGTTTTCCTTAGTTTCTCACAAAAATTTATATAAAAAATGTTTTCTAGAAAGAAAAAGTGCATTTTTCAATTCTTCAATATATATAGATTTAAAATATGCCAAAAAAAATTTGAAGCGATTACAGTCCACAAATTGAGCAGCCAGAGGATTAATTAATATTACAACTGGTTTGGCTTAATTTTTGTTTTTAGCCCAGAAGGGATATCAGTCTCAAAATGGGATTTTGCATTGAATCACTATATTTGTCAATCACTTTTCAAATTGTTGCCCCAAATATTATTGCTCTGTATTATATTTAGAGAAATTAATGAAGAATTTGCAATGGTACCAAGAGACATCAAATTTTGAATAACAGTTCTCCACCCAAATATGGACACCTGGAAGGTCAAATTTTAAACTTCAAATTTGTATTATTATGCATTTCATATTTTGTAAACCTTAACAAATTTTTGATTAACAAACTAAATGATTTCAAAAGGAGCAATGGCAATACTGCACGGGAAAAATTATTTTTATCTCCAGCACACAAGACTACTGAAATTTCTAAAGATAGGGTGTTTTTAAATATTTTTAGCCCAAACACTCTCAAAACATGTAAATTTAAAAAATGCCCCTTCAGGCGTAATATAAAATCTGAAAGCCATCACTTTCTTTTATTAAAATTAAATCCTTTACATAGTCAATAAATTTGTATTCATAATTAATGTTTATTCTTAACTATGTTTCTCCAATTATAAGATCAAAAGATTTTTATATAATCTGGCCTTTTGTTATAATGCTTGTCATAATTTTTTTTTTTATATATATTTGTAGCAAAGAAGGGAGATGGCTGATAATTACCTGGACATGACTAAAAATTATTCAAATTATACAAGCATTTAATTAAACTAAAGCACATATTTTATTACATGAACATCTAAAGCAGCTTACTATTACTACCACCATGTCAAAATTAAAACCATTAGTTTGACAGCTTTTATAATTAAGCATTATAAATAAATTAAAAACTTACCACTCAACACCCAATCTCTTTCTTGCTGAGATTTATTTCCATGAATACACATTGCAGGAAATCTGTCAAAATGAGAATTAATATAATATTAAGTAACAAACAGAAAGATAAAACCACCAGAATGCACTAATATCAAAATTAAAATCTCTACAATACTCACCCTTGCCTCCTCATATAACGGGTTAATTCATCAACTCTTTTTTTGGTTTCAGCAAACACTATTGTCTAGAAGAAAAAATTTTAAAATTAAACACAAGCAAAATACACATTAGGAAATATTTCATATAAATGCAAAAACTGCAACATAGAAAACTCTAGTAAATTACAAAATTCTGTGCTGCTTTTTGAGTTAAATCATTTCGAGCGGTAAACATAATTTGTATTCTTTTGTTGCTCTAAAGAAAAGTTCTCTAATCAAATTACTGTAGACCAACCTATAGTAAAAATTTTCAATAGCCAATGTGAGAAGAACATTTGCACATAACTTTTTGTATAAAAATTAACCAACTTTCATTCAACTTAAAATTCACAAGATAAAAAATTGAAAAACTAAAAATTACTGTAAATTGCATGTGTGCATAATTACAATTTTTCATTTTATTACTTAAAAAGCATCCAGTTTAATCCACTCATAAGGACAGCATATGCTACATTTTCACACCACAATTCAAATCAATGAAACTGAAGGACAGGAGGGGTAAACAAGCCCTTTGCTGCAAGGTGCTTGATTGGAAAGATTAATACTTTAAATACACAGCTTTATGATTAGCTACTCTTCAGAACTGGCAAATCTATCAATGTCATGTTCACTTTATCAATTTCTGGATGAATAAGCTGATTCTGTTTTGCTGAACATTTTCCTAGCCTCTGTTTTTAAATCCATTGATTTCCCCACACTTTTTGAATCTTATAGTTTTTAAGGAACTCCTGTACAAACTAGAAAAAATTTGCAATAGCTAGACAATGTATTATGCATAAACTTTTTATACTAAATTTACTATTTTTATTGTCCCATTTTTTAAATTTTTATTTATTTTTGGTCTGTGTTTAAACTGGAAATCACATTTTGCCTTTATAAACAAGATTTTGGAATTCCTGGTAAATTCACACAAGATTATTCTTTAAAACTGGATCAGTTTGGTAATTTGTGAGTATTGCTCAAAATGCTGTCACATATGAGAATTGTTCTAACCTATTACAATCACCTGCACATCATTTCCTAACTTAGGTGCTACAGTCACTGAACTTGGTGATTTTGAATGCCATTTGAAACACAAGTTTTACAATAAAAGACCTGATTCAAATACTTTCTTCAGCAAACATACCTATAATGCTTTAAACCGGTAATTATTTTTTTTTTCCAAGTTTCAAATTATACCTAAATTTACCTTTTAAAATTATAACTGCATTGGGAGCTTATATCTACCGAATACAACTATGATTTGACAATGCATGATTCTCATTCTCTTTTCATGCGCGAGTTTTGAGTCACCTAGTAATTGTTTTTTAAGTTTCAGCTTCGAAATAAAGTGATTTATTAATTCCTTTAGACATAATGAAAATTCATATTACAATAAACATAGCAATTATATATAACAAAAACGACATACAGCAGTACATGTAGAATATTTATACTCAATACATAGTTCATAGCCACATTTTAGTTAAAAAAATAAGCACCTATAAGCACTTTTCAAGCACATTTTAAGAAAAAAAATAAGCACCTGTCTAATTACCTCATACACAACTGCAATACCTTAAAAATTAGACTTGTAATTTAAAATATGAGAAATGCAGTATTTATTAAGAGCGAATAAGCATTACCTCAACCATGCTAAATAATAACTTTTTTTTTAATTTTAAATAACAGTTCAATTTACAGAACTAGTTTACAATGAGAGAAAAAAAAACTATTCAGAACTAAACTATATTACAAGATTTAATGATGAAATTTCAGTTCAAAATAGAGAAAATAAATAATAATAAGGCATATTTATTGTATTCGCTGGGAACCTAATAATAAATACAATTTATTTTTCCACTCATATTGATATTTAAATCTAAATTCTGAACATTTTCTAAATTTTCATTGTACTCATGTCCAAAATTATGTTTACATACATAAATTCACGGATTTCTCAGAGACTAATAATTTAATGAATTTTCGTGGAATCATACATAACATGATGACACATAAATGCAAAAGAAAAAATTGAAGATCACCTCATATGATATAAAATTGTAGCATGAAACAATAAAAATGGTAATAAAGTGTGACAAAGAGAGTTAAGAAAAAAAGGAATGATTCAGAAAAAGAATTAAGTCTTACGAATTTAATATGGAATATGATCTTCCCTGACTTGTACACACATATCACAACGTGTTTCAAGGCTGGAAATAACGTTGTTAACCACAGTTTGGGGAATTAATCTCCACTCTTCCAGCAATGCCGTCTTCAGAGCATTTACATCTCTAGGAGGAGGATGTATGTATACGTGCAATTGCTCTTCCAAGGTAGTCCCATAAGTTCTCTATCGGGTTAAGGTCAGGAGAGTTTGGTGGCCAAGGTATTCGCTTAATGTCTTCACTTTCAAGGAATTCATCAACGAGGTTTGCTCGATGTGGACAGGCATTATCATCCATAAATAAAAAGTCAGGTCCATATGCACCCCTGAAAAGTCTTACATAAGGATCTAAGACCTCATCTCAATATATCTGGCTTGTCACAGATCCGCTGCTGAACACGTGTAGGGGCGTACGTCCATCGATCATTATTCCACCCCATACCATCACACCTTCACTACCGAAATGGTCACATTCCACAATGTTCGAGGGATCATTTCGTGTTCCTGACTCCCTCCAGATGTAAACATGTTTAGAATCACCAGTTAAACTAAACCGCGACTCATCAATAAAGAGAACATGGGACCATTGATGTTCAGTCCAGTTTTGATGTTCTTTACACCAATTAAAGCGATCCCTCTTTTTCTGTGAAGACAGTAAAACACATACCCTTGGCTTTCTGGCATAAAGGCCTCTTTCATTAAGCCTTCTGTATATTGTTTGCCGTCATGCAAAAGTTCCAGTGGCGACTGCAAGCTTTGGACTTAACTGGCGAGCAGTAGCCTTTCTGTTACGACGGGCAGTTAATGCCAGATACCAATCTTCAGAAGCAGTTGTCATTCGTTTCTGACCTTGTCCAGGCCTCCTTTCAACACTTCCATCATTTTGAAACTGTTTCCATAGCTTAGAGACTGTCTGTCTTGAAATATTCAGACATGTGGCTGTTTCCATGATTGACTGCCCTGCTTGTAAACGGCAGATAATTCACCACTTTACAGATTCTTCCAAATGATACTTCGAAGCCATAACAAACTGCTTTGAGTCCCTACACACTGAAATCAAACGCTATGTTGCAGAAATTCACTCGAATATTCAGTTTGCACAAAGCGCTTGATTCACCCTTGGATGACGTAACGCCTAGATTTGCATATCACAAACCGTTTGATTACTTTTGATTGGATAATGCTAATTAGGCTTGGTTTTCACGCATTCCCTGCAAATACGGATCACACTGATTCAATATTTCATTGAATATCATCATTTTTGGGTATGTAAAGATAATTTTGGACATCAGTATCAGTTTTCCTTTAACAGATATTGCAAGCAAAGTGATTTAAGTAAAAAAAGAACATTTCTGAAATCAGAAGACAGAAATTTGCTTCATGCAGTCATCCTTTAACAATAAAATCTTAACTAATCCGTATACTTGAAAATTGGCGAATATTGGACAGTTGAGCATAACTTGAAAAAGAGGAGCGGAGGCGGGGGTAGACTGTAGCCGCTCTTTAGATTTTCCCGCTAAATAAATCCTTTTGACATTTCGATATGTGCATCATATAAAACATATATGTGCATCATATAAACGGAACTAAAAAACATTCTGCTTAGCAAGCACAGTAAAACTCTTTTAAGTGTTCATAAACAAATCTCGGACTGAACATAAAAATTAATTATCTCTGCAAAATATCGCAAACGTTATTGCGCAATACATGAGCCGTGAATAATGTGATATTACGCAATCGGAATCAACAGCTGCCGGTATTGGGAAAATAAAGAACTAAATAACTGGGGTGTTTTTCATTCTAATTTTCAACAGACGGCGTTAAATTTCCGGAATAGAATCATTCTTCGCTTGGGTTGGTAGACCGCAGAACTTTTATTCATATTATTCCTTAGAAAGCTAATCTGTGTTAAAACACAAACATTTTTGGAAGTTTACTATACTTCTGCAGTTACTGCAACTATGTTATTATAAACATTCATACATATACTCATAATATAAGCATAACGATCATAATAAACACAAATATGAACTGACCAAGCAGAATGAGAATGCAAATTTTTAAGATGTTGATAGAAATTCAAACGTGTGTAGTATTTAGGTGGGAGGATAAGAATGCCGAATGTACCAGAATTTTCTACTGCTTTCCCAATTCTTTGACCAATAGAACGACGGGCACCTGTCTGTACTCTTTGTGCACACCAAAGGTTACGTTAATGCAGAAAAAGGGGGAAAAGCTGTTTCCGGGAGTATGATTCACCATTTGACATTCTATATTAGGAAGAAGAGTTGTTTATTTAGTTTCGGCTTTAGTACTGGGCAAAATAGCACGTTCATTAAAAAAAAAAAGCACTAAAAGCAAAAAATAAGGGCTTTAAAGAAAAAGAAAGCACCTATAAGGGCCTTTATATTTTATTTTCAAATATAAGGACTTATAAGCACCGCTACGAACCCCGTCATAACATGCCCTATAACTCACCAGTACATTTAGCCATATTAATAGCTCAATCATAATGCTAAATAACGTTATAATGCACAAGTATCATTTGCATTGGTAAATACAAGACACTGCACTAACATAATTATCTTAGCCTGAATTCATAAATATTTTATATCCTGTATAAAATCCAGCAAACGTTTGCTTGCAAAATTTTCAGCACTCATTATACGCAATAATAGTGCTAAGACCATTAATGAAATGTTTATGCTCTGTAAGGGAGTTCAGTTGATTTAATGACTTTAATATTCATTAAATAAACTTACTTTAATAGATCAGTCATTGAGTAGATATATATTTATATCCACTTAATGACTGATCTCTTAGAAATTTGTCAACTGATAATGGTGACTATTTGTGCGCTGGAACTTTTTTATATGCATAACAGTAACAACTCATCTAATACAATAAAAAAAACTAGACCTACATCATCTAATTAATTTTTAAGCCCTTCCCGTGCCATTTACGTTGACAAAACTTGGGCCCAAGTTTTATGGTACATAGTAAACAAGCCGGACTGGTGCTTGAGAACAGTCACAATACAAGCTGAAACGTATATGCCTGTGTTATGTCAGTTTTATGCGATACTGCTGGCGTGGAAGTAAACTTTAATCCTTCTGCATTTTGCAAATAGTATAAATATATATTTTGTAATAAATAAGTTTCAAATTATTATATTTTTAATAATTATACAATTTATGTAATAAAGAATCATGAATAACTTGTAGTGCAATGATAGGAACTATCGTTCAATTACGACTGTGAAATTACAATGTTAATGTTCACGAGTCTAGCTCGTGATGTGTATGTTTAGCCAGACTTTCTGTTCCCGAGCCTGGCTTGTGATGTTAATGTTTGAGACAAAATCTTCATCACAAATCGGGCTCATTAAAGCACAAGAAGGGGTTAAGGAAGAAAAAGCTGTATTAATTCGCAGGAAAAAATTGCCTTTAAAGGCCCTGCATAAGATAACAAGCATATGCCATACTCTTCAAATTACATTTCATTTAACAATAATTTCTGCTTATCTGCATTCAGAAGGTTTGGAACAACTGACATCTGGCCATTACCCAATTATTCACTTCAAAGAAGTTTCCACAAATGTATTAAACTTTGAAAATGCAAGAGTGTCAAGCCTGGCAATAACACTGTTATCAATAAACTTGCATCGCATTCCCTTCCAATGATTTTAAATAAAATTTTTAATTCCAAAATTTAAGCACATTTCATCATGAAACAACTTACTGCCTATAGGTACTCTTGATATTCTGTACAAATTACTGCCGCTGAAAATCTACACAGCATATTTGGAAATTGCACATATACATTTAAAAAAAAACATAAAATTACCTTATTCTCTTTTTCGGTCATAATTTCCTGAATAAGTTTATTCAACCTACACAATAAAGAAAGAAGGCAATATTCAATTATATATATATAAATTAAGATTTTAAAAAATTAATATATATTGCATAAAAATTTTTAAAATGAATTATTTATTAGTTCAAAGGAGGAAATAATTACAAGATCCTTTCAATATTAAAATAGTGACCACTACTGGTTTTTCATAAAAAATGCCAATTTCTACAAATTTTTAAAGGATGGATACAACATATGGAATGACATATTAATGGACTGACTCTTGAGATATGTTTAAATCAGTTTATAAGCAGTATCACAACGAAGTTTTAGAAAATTAGTATTATTATGATTATCTTAGAAGTTACTTCATTGATGTAACATCCTGAAGAATCCAAAAGTTTATACATGAGCCAAAGTTGATCAGTAGTGCTCCTCTCCAAATTGTAATCATTCTTCAAAGGGAAGGGAAAAAGCCTAGATATATATACATAAAAACTAATATAAGACTAAAAACTTACTTATCATCTTTTTCAGTTTCATCAACAACATCAACAATCTGCATAATATTGTGATTAGCTGACAGTTGGAGTGCTCCAACATTCACTTGGATATAATCAATAAGAAAATCTTCAGCTAATTTCTGAACTTCTCTTGGCCATGTCGCACTAAACATGAGAGTCTGGCGATCCGGCTAATTAAAAAAAATTATATGCATATATATACATTATTAACATCAAAACACGCATATATATATATATGTCTGTTACAGAAACATTTCAAATGAAAAAAAGTAAAACAGAGGGGATATTTTAAAATACTGACTCATTTCTGCTTGAAACTATCCAGCATTTGCATTAGTCATTCATTTACATCACCACATGAAATCTTATCCACATTTTTCAATATAACCTATGAAATATATTTCTTCTATTTTGTTTATAATGCTTGTGACCAAAAATGGTTTTGTTCATTGCACACCCAGAAACTAATCTGGTTTTAAACTTTCATCTTTCTCCTGATCTAGCACATACTTATTTTTAGCTTTTCCTTTAAAAAAATTCTGCCCCCCCCCCAAAATGATATACTTGAAATGACATCATCAGCGTTGCTTTATTATCAAATCACAAAAATACTGGTTATGACATATTAAAAAGCAATACAAATCTATTTTTGCTACTCTCAGCTTTTTGAGTTTTTATAGCTTTTTTCTTTCTTTTTTTTAAATAATTTCTAACACAGCTTCTTGTAGTACATTTTCCCATAACAGTTGGATTTTCCGGAAACTTCTAGATTACCAAGGGCTTTTTTCCCAATTACATCAAATCACAGCCATTATGAACAGTAAATTTGCTGTCTGAATATAAGAACACTGATGTTAACAAGCTGAACAGAACAAAATGAAACAAGATACCCAAAATTATTCCTATGGTATCTATCTATAGACTTCATATATAACTACAGCACAAAGTCCAAAATCCGAACTTGTTGCGACTTCAGCGATTCCGGATATTAGATTACCAGCTTAAATCTCGTAAGATGGCATGTAGAAATTATACAATTAAAAATATTAAATAATGATTTATGAAATAATAATGCATTTATGATCTAAAGGGCATCAAAATTTACAAAAAAAAGGGGGGAGCTTAATATTTATTTGTTTACCTTATTAAACAGTTCTTTCAATGCAAGATGTTTAAGTTGCTTCATTTTTTGTGCTAATAATTTCTCTTTAATTCTGTAGATGGACATTATCTCTATTCAATTACATTGTTGAAGTCCTATAATTGCTGTTTCGAAAATTCCGACTAACTTGTCAATAGAATTTTTCTCGTTTTCAGTAACTTCTCTGTCACTTTCTTCACTATCCGTAGAGGGATTTTCTGGATCTAGAACCCTACTACAGATATCACCATTCATTAATTCATTGATGATTGAGAAGCATTGTCATCACAATGAAAAGCTTATTTTATATATCACCTTCATTTATTACTGCTTCTCCAACTTTCTTTATAAGATCCGTTAATTGGAAAAGTTCACCTTCATTTTGAGATATTTGAAATCTTTAAAATTTGCAGCTATCATCAAACTTAGCTATCCTTCACTATACATAATGGGCTATGCATCGTGAGCTTGGTGACTAACCACAAGTTGTTCTGTTAAATTTTATCTTGCTTCTGTTGCACACTAAGACAATTAAGCCTGAATTGTATAAGTTTAGTTACTTTATTATACTTATATCTATTTCTTGCACATGCTTAAGGTTTATCCGAGTTCTCAATAAATAAATGCCCACATATACTTAAGCCTTATTGAGGGCAGGTGTTCGATATCTTACCACCTGATGCATTCTCTGTGGATCCTAAATTCTGCAACTCGGTGCGGCCACAACGAGCCCTGGTGCTAGTTCTGGGTTTATGTGAATGACAAATAAATTATTCTTAATTCAAACAGGCCTAAATGTAATCCTTGGGTCTATGAGTATAACAACAAAATCCATTTTTAGCATATGCAAAGAAAGTTTTGGTAAATTTTTCCTCGTCAACATTTCACCCCAAAGTGTGATGTCAACATAAAAGGCTACCATATCCTTTTATTATTCAATTACTAACATAAAAAAATTTTTAGGCATCGCTACATGAGTCATTACTCCAGTTGTCATGTTTTGATAAACATAGAAAAGAATAATAAATAATGATTCACCAGATTGGTGTCAGATCAATGATGTATCTGTGTGGATTATTTCAGTTTGAGGTGTAGCAGATACGCAGCAAATGAGCCAAATTGCTGATCGTACAAATTTATGCTAAAATGATTGTTTTTTCGTTAACAAGGTATTTTATTTAGTGTTGAAGTGAAATTGGACTCTCCAGATGTTTTATTATGTGCAAAGAGAGGAATCAAATGTGCATGCTTAATGCCTACGAGAAAAATGATGGTGGTTTTGAGGTCGATTTTAGATCACTCCGACTAAAAAAAGGGGTAAGCAGACTAACTGAAAAATAACATTTCAAAGGAAATTAATAATTTTAGTGATATATACTCACCCTGATCTGCTCTATTATTTTTCGAATCTGAGGTTCAAATCCCATATCTAGCATTCTGTCAGCTTCATCAAGAACCAAAAAGGTACAATTCCGTAGGTTAAGTTTCCCACACTCTATGAAATCAATCAGTCGTCCAGGAGTAGCAATGCATATATGTGCACCTACATAGGTTTAAAAAGATCAAATATTAGCATAACTGAAAAGGAGAGAAATGTTTATAAATATCACTTTTAAAATGTTGGAAATACCTCTTTCTACATCTCTCAGTTGGGGTCCTTTGGGCGCACCTCCAAAAACACAACAGTTTCGGATATTCATAGATTTTCCAAAATCATAACAGACAGCTTGAATTTGCTGTGCAAGTTCTCTTGTGGGTGCCAATATTAGTACCTTTAAAAAATACAGAATATATCAAATGATAATGCGCTGGGAACACGTACACTGAAAACCACAAATAAGCATTCAATATTATATACGGAGCTTATAAATTAAAATTTTGATTTATATGAGAATACTTTTGTTCTTGAAAGTACAGAAGACTTTCAATAATTCTCATATTTTAGGACCACAGATTGTCTAGATTATAGGCCATGTCTTCGAATGTTAACATTCGCCCACTTTCATATTTTATATTAAATTTGGATTGTACACATATGAACAACAAATCAAAAATATTCAAAACTTAGACTTACAATGGATCCATCGCCTCTTTCTACACGAGGTTGATTATAAATATGAACGATCGCCGGCAAGACATACTAAAAATGGAAAGTACATATTACACACTATCAAATAAGATACAACTATCAAGTAAAGGTAAAATTTTTAATTTTTAAAAAACCTGATACTTACAGCTAAGGTTTTCCCAGATCCAGTTTGTGCAATACCAACCAAGTCTCTTCCACTTAATGCAATTGGCCACACTTGAGCCTGAATAGAAGTAGGCTTTTCAAATTTTTGCTCCATGAGGGCTCTAGAGATGTATTCTACACAAGAATTTAAAAATAAAATTTAAGAAACTATATTATATATATATATATATATATAAGCCATTAGTACAAAAATTATTTTAAAAATAATTATACTAAGGAACAATGTGTAGGGCAATTCAATGATTAGTTCAAACCCACAATGATTTTCATATTTCTCTGGCAACAAGCTAATGAAAAGTGCCGAGAAATATAAAAACCTGTTTGGATTTACAATCCTATGCTTTTCAATTATTCAGTTTCCAGAAATGATTTAGGCCCCATTTCCATTAGTATGTTACAAATGTGTAGCATCAATGAGAGCAATGGAGGCGCAGACAGACGACCATTTACACTATTGCGTTGGATTTACGCATGCGGAAGTTCAGTGGTCAATTGCATTTAATACCACCAGATGTCTCTGTATTTAACTTACAGGATTCGGACTCTTAATATTCTTAAATTGGAAATGTTGGAAATTTTCATTTCTGCTTATGAACTGTGAAAATAAAGCATATTAGCAATTTTTAGATAAGTAAGGTCATAATGTATATTATAAACATCTCTAATTGCATAGAAGCTGAATATTTTTTTAAATTTTCTTTGCATTTCTAGAAGCCTTAAATATTAATGAAAAAATTAATATAAAATTAAATATTAATGATAAAATATATAATGAAAACTAGAATGCACTGTTACTGCAAAACAAATAAAATCATTTAAAAATAGCTGGTGCTTTAAAAACGCAGAGGAACTGTAAAAAAAAAAAAAAAAAAAGGTTCACAATATTAAAAAAAATTTGCTATGTTTTTATACTGCTGGTTGCCATGCGACATTGTATATATTTAAAATATACCCAAATTTGGGGAGAAAACAAGTAATACAAAATTTTAGCATCAACATTTTCAGTATCATAGCTGGATAATTTATTAGAAATCACATTTGTTTTAAAATGCACTATGCACAGTTACATTTTATTAATAATTCATAAAAGATTTTTAAATTATAAATTTGTATCTCTTTTTATAGAAGTCGTAAAGATAATTAAGCTGGGGAGGACTGAATTTTAAAGCAATTACTACAATAACAGGGTTCATAGCCACAATTTAGTTAAAAAAATAAGCACCTATAAGCACTTTTCAAGCACATTTTAAGGGAAAAATAAGCACCTGTCTAATTACATTATACACAACTGCATAACCTTAAAAGAAAAATTAAAATTAGACTTGTAATTTAAAATATGAGCAATGCAATATTTATTACGAGAATGAACATTACCTCAATCTTCCTTTGGGTTGAGTAGACCACAAAAACTTTTAGTCCTATTCAATCCAGATTGGACAGTGACAAAAAAAGTCCGCTGCTTCAATATTAGAGATTTTGCAGAGAAACTCCCAACCTCCATACCATATAATGTATTGGCAAAGAAAATGAAATTATTTTGACTATTCGATTACTTTCCTTTTATTTAAGCCATTCCGAATATTATTCTTTAGAAAGCTAATCTGTGTAAAAACACACCCATTTTTGGAAGTTTATACTTCAGCAGTTACTGCAACTACGAGGGCAATCCCCAAAAAAAGGTCTCCTATTTTTTTGGGACGTACAGAAAGTTTTAATACAGTTGTTGGCAACACTGTTGTGAGTGGTGCCTTCTCCGCTACCACATAAGCACGCAGGCGCTTCGCTGGGATGCTCAGTCTTGGCTTGGCAGCCATTCGAAATGGAGCTCCCGATAAACGTTGCCGCCAAGTGCGAAGTGCGTGCAGTTATTCGATTTTTGAATGCAAAAGGCGTTAAACCGGTTGAAATTCACCGCCTATTGACGGAAGTGTATGAACAGTCATGCATGGATGTCAAAAACGTTCGCAAGTGGTGTACAGAGTTTACAGCCGGTCGTACTGAAATTCATGACGAAGGAGCGGGAGGCCGTCAATTGCCGACGAGACAATCGCGAAAGTTGAGGAACTCGTGCGTAAAGATCGGAGGATCGCTCTGGATGCTCTCTGCATTTTGGTTCCTTAGGTTTCCAGAAGCACCATCCACAGGATTTTAACAGAAAAGTTGCAATATTGGAAAGTGTATGCAAGATGGGTGCCGCGTATGCTGACAGAAGACCACAAACGGCAACGGGTTGATTCTGCTCGCGAATTTCTTCACCACTATGGAGACGAAAAGGACAACTTCTTGCACTCGATTGACGCTTTCTGAAGGGCATGACGGCAAGCTGGTATGACATGGGTACAGTAAAACTGCCACAGCGTCTACAAAAATGCATCGACCGAAGTGGCGGTTATGTTGAATAATAAAGCATTCTTCAATCTTTAAAGTGATGTAGCAATTATAGAAAATAAACGGTTCTTTGTATATCTAAAAATATAGGAGACCTTTTTTTGGGGGATTGCCCTTGTATATTATTATAAATATTCATACATATGCTCATAATATAAGCATAACGATCACAATAAACACGAATATGAACTGACCACGCGGAACGAGAATGCAAATTATTAAAATCTTGATAGAAATTCAAACGTGTGTAATATTTGGGTGGGAGGAAAAGAATACCAAATGTACCCGAATTTTCTACCATTTCGCAATTCTTTGGCCAATAGAACGACGTGCACCTGTCTGTACTCTCGTGCAGACCATAGGTTACGTTAATGCAGAGGAAGGGGGAAAATCAATTTCCGGGAGTATGATTCACCATCTGATGTTGCATATAAGGAAGAAAAGTTGTTTTATTTAGTTTCGGCTTTGGTACGGGGGAAAAATGCATGTTCATTAAAAACAAAGGATTAAAATAACACTAAAAACAAAAAAAATAAGGGCTTTAAAGAAAAAGTAAGCACCTATAAGGGCCTTTATATTTTTATTTTCAAATATAAGGACTTATATGCACTTGTAAGGACCGCTACGAACCCTGAATAAGTTTTTTGAAAAATGGAAAAAAAAAAAGGGAATCAAGAAAAGAAAGTCAAATTTACCAGTCAATATCTTTGATTAAATTTTTAGATAAAATAGAAAAGACTAGTATAAAGTGTTATATCCTTTTCATAAGCAATGCCAATCGTGTTACTGAAGGACTAAGTCTTCCCAGTGTTAAAAAGGGCTATTCTACAAGTCCCACTCAGCCTCCCAAAACTATGGACAGCAGCACAAGAAAAATTTCCATGGCAAAATTAAAAAGAGAATTATGGGGGTGAGAGGGAACTCGCATAGGCAGAAAACCTACATAGCTATAGCATTTTTTAGTGGTTTCATGAGATCAGAAAAATATTTCAAGGATACCTGTTAGAGTAAAGATTTTGAAAGATACTGCATTTAATGATGAAAATGAAAGAGTGCAACATACCAGGAAAATTCCCTTCATAGAAATCACATATTGGCCTTGGGACCTCTCTTCCTCGAACTGTTATTTCTAAAGAATTTCTGTAATCTTCAACATCATTCTGAAATAAAAAAAGTATTAATAGTAAACAAAAGGGAGGGGGCAAGAAATAAAATGGGTCAAAACATCAAATGCTATAATAAAACCAATATAATGATACAATTATAGTAATTGAGATAAAATATCATTAACATATTTAGATTTTTGTTACAAAATATGCTTCCAGCACTATCATAAAAAGGCACAATAGATTTTTATGAAAAGTAGAATGCATGAACTGAAAAATAAAAACGAACTTCTTAACAGTATCTATTTTAGAATTATTTTCTACCCATAATTCTCAAAAGCTTTATTTATCCAATTTCTTAATGATTATTTATATAAATTTTCTATTTGCCCCTCTCAAATGATTTTAAAAAAATGAGTAACTTAAGCAGAAAGTAAAGTTAGGAAATACTATGCATATATCACATATAGGCACCACCAAGCATTTTATTTTGTAGTAAGAGACAGGAAAAAATCATCCAATGCTCTCGTGAGGACTTGACCTTCTGATTTGTTTGGACCTTCTGATCATTAGCTAGATATGCTTTCCAATTAATTACACCCTACAAGTTATGAAGTAGATAACATTAAATTAAGAACATAATTTCTTGAAAACTTGTATAAGTGTATTTCACACTAATAACAGCCACAGATATTTTAGATATTTACATGATTATTATTTAACTTATTTGATATTTATTTAAACACAGTCAACTACTATTATAATTGCAATGTAAAAATATTTTGCAGATTAAAATAACAGATTTGTAAACATACAATTTATTTCTTTGGTTTTTTGAAAGATACTAGAATAATAAACTATGCAATAAAAGATAATAAAAACAGTTATGCTTTTTTAAAATCTGAAATTTTTTCAAATATTTTAACATCTAATTTATTTATGTCTATTTCCTTTTCTTTAATTATTCTTCTAAGTTCATTTGTTTTGATAAACAAATCAATGTTCCTGCTGGTCTCGGCTTCATCTGCTAAAAGCATCTATCGAAGCTGCTGCTGATCTTATTTCTTTATTAATTTCGATATTAAGAATACCTCCAGAAAATTTTATGTAATCAAATACTGTACATTGAGAAATGTATGATGAGTCACTTAAATTTTCAATTTTAACTGCTTTATTTACAGAGAAGCCCCTTTCCACAAAGGCCTGTCCATGTGACAAGATAAGAATCATTTTCACTATTTTCCATACTTTAGAATTGTGAAAATCATGAAAATAAGAAGTGAGAAATGTGTCAAGAGAAAGATTTTGAGAATCAAAAGTAGAAAATTCATGTAAATTTGTCTAGTTTGTCTAGTACTACTTTGTCTAGAATCTCTTTAAACTGCAGCAGAATTTCATCACAATTATCTTGTAAAACACATTTATTCCGCGTTAATACGGTTAGAACTATTTTCATTTTGTTTTGGGCTTTTTCTGGACTTTTAGCCATCAACTGTGGTTCTATACAAGATGCATTTCGAATAAGAGAATAATTTATTGGATATTTAGCCATTAAGTGTTGTATCATTGTTAAGACACATTGTTGACCTTGTTTCAATACAAAACTTGTAGCTTGTGAAATGTCCTTCTTGCGGCATTTGTTGACCTTCTTGTTTCAATACAAAACTTGCAGCTTGTGAAATGTCCTTCTTGCAGGATTTATCATTCATTAACTGCTCAGCAATGAATCCCAAATAAACTTTACTTTTATCATTATAACAATTTGGATCATTAAAATTAAATTTATAAAGATTCAGATTTTCTGCTTTAGTTATTTTTGAATATTCTAGTTTCAAAATTTTAAAGTGCTAAAAGCAATCATTTACAAGTTTTAAGATATCTTCAGCAAAAAAGGGGATAAGTGGTTTACCGCTTTGATAATATTCAAGGAAAGGCAATAATATTTTTGACAGAGAGAAAAAATTTAATTTTATAAGAAATGTTTTATCCTTAGTTACTTCCAAAATATTTGAGAAGGATTTCAATGAAATTTTTTTAAACTGCCCCATTTCAACTTTTTTAACATATAATAGCAAGTCATCCCATATTTCAATGGCTCTTTCAACTGCTGGGACATTTTGCAACCATCGGTAACAGCAGAAAATTTGAATTAAAACATTATTTCTTTATCTATCAGATGGAGCAAAGATAAAAATTCTGCAATAATTGGTTTTACTGTTAAACAAAAATGTATGAATTTTTCTTACGCATTATATTTTAACACTTAAAAAATGTACTATATCGATAAAAAAATTGCGACATTGCGAAATATTCTAGGCATTCATTCCTGCAGAGATTCCGTTACATCGCTAAAATTGCCATAAGAATGCTATATTGGCAATACCATGAACACGTTTCCTCCGTGTAGCAACCATTCCGCTTATCAGTCATTTTCTTTTAATTTATTAATCTTCCGTTTCTTTTATTTTTTCCTTATCATTTCAACACTGACTTTTTATTCAGGATTTAGCTTTTATTTTAATTTCTAGTTATAAATAGGTGAAATTAGCTTAATAACAAAAGATAATTTCAATCATTATCACAATGAAATTTTATATCGACCAACTATTTGAATAAATGATGCGATATCAAATTCAATAAGATTCTTCTGAAAGCAGTATTCCTTTTATAAAAATACTTAATAAAATTCTAGTATACGGTGCAATTTTGAAAATTATCGCCAACACGAAAATGACCCGTTTAACTACTCATCGTGTATGTCCCGTTTACTGCTAATCATAAAGTTGCCAAATTCTTTATGCAACGGATACCTTGTGCATAGGATTAAACCAAATACTTAATTGTCTATTGAAGCTTCAAAACGTATTTCCGAACTTCACTTTTTTCGGCTAGCGTTACCGAATTTGCCCTTGGCGACCTAAAATCGAAATGGAGCCAATAGATTTCCCGCGAAATCGATAACAGACCCTCTGCGGAAATAAACTCATAATCCTGATATCCCATACATATATGTGCAAAAGAGAAATAAACTCCACAGATTCTTCTCTGTAGAATAGAAGGTGATCAAAAATTAATTTATGGCTTAATTCAAACAAACACAGAAATTAAGGTAAGCAAAACCATGTAAAAACAAATTGAAATGATAAAACGAAACTTAGCTATCATGTGAATTTTCAGCGCTGACTCTCCCATTCTAGAAATTTCAATTTGTTTCACAAAGACCACATTTAGCTTTATAAGGATTGTCATCCATCAATATCCAGTCTTTGTAGTCAGCTTGATGAGGAAGCACAGTTTATTGAAAATGCACTTTCCAGGCATCTCGTTCCTATTGGCGTCGGAAGGGGTTGCTGGCCTTCCAGGTTGGGAATTGTTCTAATTTTGACAAATATTTTCAGAATCCCCCCCTTTTTTTTCCTCGAGCACCTTCATTATCACTTTCGCCTCTTAAAGAACTTCCGGCTTCACGCTTTCATCACAATCTGCATAAATTTATGGATAACACCTGTTTTGAAAGAGTGGGTGAATAGCCAATCAGATACCCGATACTTTCATCCTAGGGTAGCTAATTTTTTTTTTTTATCGTTTGCAACGCAAATCCGCCAACAGATTGGTTAAGAGCCGTGTAATTTTAATTCCATATTCATGAGAAATCGCATTTCACACTTATAATGGCAATTATTAGAAATGATAAGAAATGTCAAATGAGCAAAATTAAGGACCGTTTATTCATTTTGACCAAAATTAAGGACTTTTAAGGACCAAAAATCATTTTTGAAAAATTTAAGGACTTTTAAGGACCATACGAACCCTGTTTACCGATAGTACGATAGAAATCATTGCTGAAGATACGAATAAGTTTATTTCTTCTGTGAGGTCTAATTATTCTCGTATAAGGGACAGCAGAGACACGGATGGAGCAGAAATAAAAGCTCTTTTGGGCTTACTTTACTTAGCTGGTATTTATCATGGTAAGAGTTAATCTTGAGGAACTGTGGAGAATGGATGATTTTAAAGTAGTAATGAACAAGAAGAGATTTTTGTTTTTATTAAAAGCTTTACCGTTTGATGACATAAACACAAGAGTAGAACGAAGGAGTCGACCGCTTGGCTCCAATAAGAAACATTTTTGAAAAGTTTGTCTCTAATTGCCAGAAGTGCTATTCACTTGGAGAGAATGTCACAATCGATGAGAAATTGGATGGATTTCGAGGAAGATGTGGTTTCATTCAATACATTCCTAAAAAACCGAATAAATATGGCATAAAAATTTATTTATGCCATGGTAGACGCTCGTATGCTTTACACATACAATATGGAAATTTATGCTGGAGCGCAGCCAGATGGTCCTTTTCGCGTAAGCAACAAACCACAAGATGTATATAAAGGTTGACAGAACCTATTCATAACACTGGAAGAAACGTAACCACAGACAACTGGTTTTCAAGTTTTGAGTTAGTACGAGATCTAGATGAAAAGAAATTGGGACAACAGAGACAAAAAATTTATCAAAAATGTCATTTGTAGGTTACTTTGAAAAATAAAATAAAAAAAATAAACCTCAAATTCCGGATCAGTTCAAGCTGACAAAAACTCAGGAACCCAATACAAGTCTTTTTGGATTTAGAAAAAATATGAAACTTCTCTTCTATGCACCAAAACATTATAGAAGCGTCATATGATTTCAAGTCTTCATGATGACGTATCAATAGATGAAGATATCCAGGACCAAATGAAATCTGAGATTATCACATTTTACAATTGTACCAAAGGAGGTGTGGATACAGTGGACAAACTCAGTACTTCCTACAATATTGCCAGGAACACCAGGTGTTGGCCTCTTGTAGTTTTCTTCTCTATGCTGAATATAGCAGCAATCAACAGCTACATAATTCATTCAACGAATAATAGTGAAAAATTACTTAGAAGGCAATATTTGCGAAAGCTAGCAAATGCTCTTATGAAGGAAAACTTTGAAAGAAGAAGCCCTACCCCTCTTCAAAGTGAGCTAAAATTAAAATTGTTGAAATGAAAATCAGAATTAGGTGTTGTTGAAAAAATGACTTCAGGGAAAAAAAAGATGCAAACCCTGCCAAAATGACAAGCGCACTAGAATTACGAGGTTCAGCTGTGAGATTTGATTGAAATTCATTTGTCCAGAGCACTGTAAACATATTTGTTCAGACTGCAGCGATGCAATGAAGTGATTATGAAATTGAATTTTTATGTAACATTTAATGTGCTTTTCCACTTATTAAAAATATAAAAGTTCAGTTGAAATATTAGCAATTTAATTTTGTTTTACTTTCAAGTTAATTTTGGTAAGTCTTTAGTCCTTTTTATACTGTTTTAGTGTTTTATACTTATTTTATTTTCCTTAATTTAAAGTTAATATTGTTTACCTCAATTGTACTTATTAACATTTAACCATTTCAAAATAATTTTAATATTTTTGCTCTGGAAAATTTATTTTTTATAATAGCGTATCTAGGAAATACGCGCAACCTTTCTTGTTGGTGCGGAAGGCGCGCATGCTGGAAGGTTAAGCTGATACATAAGAATGATCTGGTAAAGCAGGAATAAAGTGGCAGTGAATTCGAACTTACTAAACATTATATGTATAAGGAATAAAATGGTATTAACTTGCAATGTCAACAGATTACCTAAACTTAAAAGTTCCACCTATTTATAACTTAATCACCTCAATATTTGATTGCAGAGTTTTTGCTTTCATAGTAATATTTGTTCAATTTAAGATTCTTTAAAAACCTTTTCCTTTAAAACTATTTTTAGCAACATAAATAACCATAAATAACCATAAACAACATAACTATAAATTTTAATAAATATATCATAACTATAGAATTTTCTTTAATTTATATTAAGTGTGTATTAAGATTTTTAGTAGAAGTTAAATTTAAAAAAAAAAAAAAAAAACCTAAACTTGAAAACAGGCCTTAACTTTTTGTTGCATACAAACAGTATATATACATATATATAGTTTGTCCCCCCCAAAAAAAAATTTAAAAAACCAATCAAAACTATATCTGAGTGAACTTTTGCAGGTTTGAATGAGGCTTTCATCATTATATCTTTACTAGTTTTTACTTTCTATTCATAAAAGCTTTTTTTTTTTTCTTTCTTTTCTGTGAAACAGTTTTATTTAAGCCATGTATTTGTTAAAATAAAAGTATGTATATTTAATTTGTAGTTTGTATTTTATTTACACTATTTTAAGTATTGATTTTTTAAAAGTAAATATCACATTCTTTATATATCTATAAAGATTTTCATGGTTTTACAAGCTAATCTTTTTTTTATAATTTATATAATCTCAAAAAAAAAAAAAGTTTCGTAAGTCAAATTTCCCATATTAGAGACATATATAGGGTATTGTATTTCATAAAGTTATTCATGTAGTCTGTGCTGGGACCGTGATCTTTCTTAAGCCATTATAATGTACCTATATTACTTTTCCTTGTTAATGCTCACTATTAATTGTATATACTTATCTCAATTACGAATGCAGTTTTTCTAATATTATCAATACTTTTGTAGCCGTGGGTTACTCGCGTACCTCAGTAGTAATTGCAAGGATGGATGTTATCTGCATAAATAATTCTGTTCATTGTAGAAATTCTAAATATTTGTTTTTTTATTTTGGTAATTTTGCATAAAGAAATGTAGGAATTGTGTAAATAACTCAAGAACCACAGATGCAGTCTATGAAAGTCTACCCAGCAATATTTTGGATGCCTCCAGAAAATTTACTTTCAAGGCTATAGAAAATATTAAGATATGATAGTCACCTATACAAGTAGCACATAAATATAATCAATGTAAAAGGCGGAAGTGTGAGTTAGTCTTAAGATTTACCGAGTTCAAATACTTGATTTTTTTAACTCGCAGTATTGCACTAGGTAAAATGACACAAAGCAACATATGCAGATTTTATTCAACATTATTTTTAATTACTTCTCTACATCTGTAAGAACTTATCATTTAAACATAATAAAGATGCACACTTTCTTTTTCACAGCTTAATTATCCTGAAGATTTTTTAAAAATCTTACATGCATCAATATACATACATTTCAGAAAACAAGCCCCATAATTCCCACATGACGAGTAAAAAATCTTAAAGAAGAAAAATTACTTACTTCACTGAGATTGGTAATATTTGGATGTTCAGAATAAAAATTCTTTTGAACAGCTTCCATAGTCTCCATATCATACCTAGCTTTCTTTAGACCTTCACCAGGCATTTTCCCTTTAAAGCTGTTTCCACCTCTTTGTCCACCACGTCCTCTAAAACTATTACGACCTCTGAAATCACTGAAAACAAATATGCACAGTTATTTAATGCCTGCAAGCATACATATAGAAAAATATGAAATTAACTTTTAAGATAAATTTATATTATCTGATTACTTCCTTAGCATTAAAAATTTCATGTGTACCAACACTTTTTGGAACAGATGTGCAGAAGCACCGGTTTGGCTAAAAGCTATTGCTAAAAACATGGAGAGAAATATGAAATTAACTTTTAAGGAAAATTTATATTATCCGATTACTTCCTTAGAATGGTATTAAAATTTTCATGTGTACAGACTTTTTGGAACAGATGTGCAGAAGCACCAGGTTGGCTAAAATTTATCGCCAAAAACATTTGGAGAGAAAAACCGCGTTTCCATTCCACTAAGCTTAAAATGTGAAAGGCAAAAGCTTATTAACCTTCTAAAACTGGGCCAAAATTCTCATAATATAGCCTTCAGAGCGTGATCGGAAACAGTTTTGCCCCCTCTTTGACATTTTCCTAATGAGAAAAGTCGTTATTCCCCCTCCATGGATGCAGTAAAATTTACATGTTTGTCGGTCGCTTACGTCCCATAGTAGAGGGTTGCTAGATTTGTGATTTTTTTATGATTATTTTGCTTTAATTTAAATGAAGTTCTAAATAAATAGTGCATAAATAAATATGCAGTACTGGATGCATATACAGTGCACTATTTATTTAGAACAAAATGTATGCAATGTTTATATTTTATTATAGATACTATTTCTGATCAATCTCTTAAATAATTTGTGAATTCTTTAACTTTGTTTTCACTCTTCATTTATATTCACGTATTTTCGTATTAGAAATTAGAAAACAAGAACAAAATTTTACAAAATATAAATATGAACTAGCTTTGTAAGTCTGCAGGCTGGAATGCGATTTTTAATAACATATTTTCATTAACAAAATAATGGTAATGACTAATTTAATGAAATAATAATAATATTTATTACCATTAGATGATTAGAATGAGATTCAATACAATTTAGATTTTGAGATGAACTTACAGCAACAGGAGTGCTTGTGGGACCCCAAACAATCCCCTGAAACTTTTACGGACTTACTACCGACATTTTGGAGTTTCGAGAAAAGGGGGAGAGAAATGAAAAATTACAATTATGAAGTATTGAATGACCTAATTATAAAAGTTCAATGAATTACTTTTTTTGCAAAATTAATAACCATAAATTTTCAAATAAACTACTACATTTTATGTAAATATTAAAATAAACTACTACATTTTATATAAATATTTTAAATTACCTGAATTAATTCTTTAAAAAAAATTATCTAATTTCTGCTGCTTTTTTTTATTTTCTGATGTTTGTGGGCTTGTCTTTCTTTTGTGGTGAACTTCATAATTGCAGGAAGGTTGACTTTTATTTTCCTCATTTACAGTTGAAGAAATTTCCTCGAGAACTGCACATGCAGAGGTAGAAGCAGTTTGCTTTTCTGCTAATGTAGAAGGTTTTTCAGAGACTTTTATAGGTGACTCATCTGAAATACATGTTTTTAAGTCCTCTTGATATGTTTTCCAACTTCTGTTCATATTCAGTAAGAGATCTTTGTGAATTGGATCAGTCATTGGATTTTTTTTGAGCCATATTTTTCACATGAGGTTTCTTTAGAAGCCATTAAATCATATTTAATAGTCTGCACTGCATCTAGGGAATCAATCTTAAGAGAGGTTCTATAGTCAGTGACAAGTGTATCCATTAAGTTGAATGCACTTTCCACTAATGGGCCATGGAAGCAGCTAAGGCAGGCTTTTGACCAATTTAGCCAATGTAGGATACTTATAATCATTTGTGAAATCATCTTTTAAATTAAAAACTTTAGACCAATATTTATCAATTGTACACTTGACTTGATTTCCACTTTCATCAGATGTGTAGAGCATTTCTTTGGTGATATCAATATCACTCTGGTATAACCTTATTTCAGCTTCTACTTTTGACTTTTCATTATCACTAAAAATATGGGACATAAAAGATGATAATTTTTCAAAAGCTAATATTGTACTGGTTTTACCTCTTAGCTCTGGATCTAATGCTGTAAAACTAATTAGATATGAATTTTTTAAGGGGTAATTTCTGTTTCATATGCTGTGCTGTATTAGTATAAGCTTTCATCAGAGAAATTTGGAATTCTTTTGCTATTGGATGATTTTTTTGATAATTTCTTCAGGAGAGTGGAAGCTTCTGCACCAGTAAATATTACTTTGCTAGGTAGATGGAATTCTGGATTTGTGACATCAACCTTTAATAAATCATTATAAGATGTGCACTCTATATTTTCTGGCTTCATAAAAAAAGAAGAAATTTTGCCATCAATTTATAAATACTGGAATGTATTAAATGAAGCATTGGTTTTTTTTGTTTCAAATAATTTAATATATGTGTTGAAACTCTGGTAATACTGCTGAATATAATGCCATATGCAATAAAGTTTTGTTTTGCATAACAAATAACCCATTTAGTATTCTTTTTTTCCGAGCTAAAGCATCCTTTGTGAGTTGTTGGGAATGCAAGCAAGAATACACCCCTTCAACAATTTTTTTCTGAGCTTCAGAAATATTTCTTTTATTGTATACAGTTTCAACATAAGAAAATTAATCCCTTTTATAGTTTTAACCAAGTAGTGAAAATAAAATGCAATAAGAGCATCCCACAGATCTTTGATTCTTTCTAAAACACATAAAATGTACACCCACCTATGGTCTGGTCTCTTCAAGGGCTTAAGTTTTTTAATGGCAAGGGATTCACAGATTTTGAAAAAATTTTCTCTTTTACTGCAGCTTTTCATATCAAAATAGATGTCATCAAACAAATCTTCTAAGTATCTATCAAAACATGAAGCAAATTTTTTTGCACAGTTATTAGCTGTGTGACATGTGTCACCATCAATATCTAATAAAGTGGGGTGCTTTGTTTTGATCGTAGTCTGGTTTCAACCTCCTTTTTTTTTTTCCACGCATGGTGTTACACATGAGTCCATTAATACACTAATTAAGTTTGCCCATGGAATATTATTATCTTCAATAGTATTAACAACTGCTTTAAAAACAGCTTCTGAATTGCAAGATTCCATCTTTAGAGATGCAAAATGATGAACTACAACTTCATTTTGATTGTTGTCATAAAACTGCACCAATATTGCCAGTATACTTTCTTTTGCTAGTACTTTCATCCAAATTTTGGAGTCTCCTTTAAAGTTTTAATGATATTTTCCTTAATAGTTTTTGCGAGCCTATATTTATTTTATCTTATAACATGCAGTAGTCCTGGACATTTCCAACGAGTTTAGTGCCGTCTGATCGCGGCTCAACTGTTTGCAGAGTTCAATTAAATTGGGAGCTACATTGAAAGAAAGAGAATTCTCGGCGATAAACGAAGTTATTAATACCTCTTGGCATGCTTTTCTTGTCACTATATCCAACGGCCGAGCATCAGTCTCCAATAAGTCATCAGTATTTTTTGAATTAGCATAATTACTTAAAGTCATTGAATGTCTAATGCACTTTGAATATTTTATGTGCGTCACAGTTTTAGAATGATTTGTGAAAGCCTTGAATCCTTCCCCACCATACTTCAGCAGTGAGTTACAAAAAACACAATATGCTTGTCCAGCAACATTTATTTTCTTGCACCATGTGCCGATGGTATCCCCATTACCATCTCTCCGTTCAATCCAATTCACCTAAATGCATTCCGGACACCTTCTTCTAATTGTATAATATCACTATTTATATCGAGAAATTTCATAGTGAAATTCTCTTGCGTACATAAATAAAAAAATATTTCAATAAACGAAACGAAAAATTTACACGTGCATCAATAAATGAAACGAAAATTTTACACAGCGGAGAAAAAAAAGTTGAGAAGCGATCAATGACAAATCCCCCTTCTCTACTTATTGACGCCATGTCAGGAGAGATAAAACCTTTGAACCCAGAGTCGCGTGATCGCACATTCGTTCTGGTCGAACGAAGTCTCTCCCTTTTTTTTCTGCCGTGCTTACTTGCTGAAAAGAATCCAGAAGAGAATGTCCGAGAACTGGGGAAATGAATCATAACTCGCAATAAGGAAAGAACAAAAAAGAAGTTTTTTTCCCCCTTTTCACGCATTATCACTCACTGCCTTTGGAGAAAGAAAGGAAAAGTTTTCACACACACACTGACCTTGCATTTTCTGCTTTCAAAGCAAACAAAATTACCCAGATCAATATAAATAATTCATTATTATTCCTACTTCCTTTTGAATGATGATTCCCGGAATTTCCGGGTATCGAAGTTCAAAATCCCCGGAATTCCAGGGTTTCCCCGGAGCACAAACACCCCTGCAGCAATAATAAAGCTTTACATAACAACAGAGCTTTAAATCTGCTTTTTTCGATAATTTTGTTATTATAATATAAAACAGAAAATCCGAGATATATTGGTTGCTTTTCATCATTTAACTTTAACAAATATTACATTGGACTATCAGGTAAAGGAGGCAAACGAGAATTTTTCTTTGTAAAATTGGCTTTTGTTTATTTTAGCAGAGAAAAAAAATTCGTGACCTACACATGCAATCATCAAAAGTATTTTTCAGAACAGTTTTAAATGTTTATGAAGAATTAATTATACGTCAATTTCTTTTCATAGGTAGAAATCTCGTCTAAAGCCATCATTATATCCAAAGGTTCAAGTCTATTTCATTTTCAACGAATAAGGACATATTGGGTGTTGACACAATGTAGTAGATCTGTTTTTCATATTTCTTCCAGTAATGAAAACAATTACCCTGGAATATTTTTAAAGCAAAACTAAGAAAACCGTTTATGCCAAATTTTGCATAAAGTATCATCTTGTGCATTTTTTTATTTAAAGTGTGAAATTTTCTCTTTGAAAATATAAAAATCATGAACGGAGCAAAATTAATACATGAGAAATAACTTTGAAATGCAATAATTCCATTGTAATATGAAATAGTGGAGAAAGGTTCAATACAGT